TCATCTCTACAATAAATCAAAAATTAGCCGGGGCATGGTAGCGCACGCCTATAGTTCCAGCTACTTGGAAGGCTGAGGCGGAAGGATCGCTGGAGCCCAGCAGGTCGAGGCTGCGGTGGCCGGGAGCAGTCACTGCACTCCAGTCTGGGCGACAGAGTGAGACTCCAACTAAAAAAATAAATAAATTTTAAAAAGAATGATCTATTTAAATATTTATAAACCTCAGCAGAATGTTTCATATGATTATTGTCACATAAATTACTAAATTGTGAGAAAGTGACTGTAGACCATCAAACATTGAAAGGCAACTATTTTTTTCGATGAAAATAATTTCCATCTATACCTTTTTAAGCATGTGCAGTGTATTTGAATAAAAACAGTTTTCTGGGACAACTTGAAAAGTTTTTACCAGTAAATACATTTTCAGAAAGGGAAATCCAAACTTGCTGATCACCTCTTTTCTTGTGTTGATCACATTCATTCATTCAACAAAACTTGAATGTGCCAGGGGCAGTGGATTCAAGGTAGCACCCCCATCCCTCAAGCAGCTCAATGCTGGGAAGGACAGAATGGTATATTAAATAGTCACGGTTAAAAAAAAAAAATAGGGGAAGTAGTTGACAAGTAGTAAATGTTATATTTGTATCTCCTAAAATACGTATGTTGAAACCCTAACTCCCGATGAAATGGCATCAGGAGGTGGAACTCTTAGGCAGTAATTAGGTTTAGATGAGGTCATTAGGGTGGAGCCCCTGTGACAGGATTAGTGTCCTTTTGAGTAAGAGACTAATGCTCACTCTCCACCATGTGAGGACACACCAAGAAGGTGGCCATCTGCAAACCAGGAAGAGAGCCTTCACCAAAACCCATCTATGCTGGCACTGCAGTCGTGGACTTCCCAGCCTCCAAAACTGGGGGAAATAAATTTCTGTTGTTTAAAGCACAGTCTATGATATTTTTGGTTATAGAAACCCAAACTGACTAAGACAGCAATTAACTGTTCCCTAGTGTTAAGCGTGGGTGTGGATCTACAGCTTCAGTTTCAGTGTCACCCAACAAAGGAGAAGATGCAAGACCTAGTTCTCTGTCAGACCATTCCATCAACTCTCCTCCAGGAATAGGGTCCCGTACGGTCTTGGATTCCTCTTGGATTCACTAATGCCCAGTACGTGGAAAAGTTCCATGTAACCATTGGTGACTTCTGGTGAGAGGTGCCCCTGAAGAAATCACAGAGGTACATACAGGCAGACCTTC